ATAATTAAGTAGCATCCAAGTGCCGTCCCTCGGGGTTGGCTGCGGCTGTGGCTGCGGCAGCTGCATGCAAATGAATATGAATTGGGGCAGGTTCCAACATCAGCGGGAGACTCCATATGACCCGCGGCAGCAGCAGCAGCAGCTCTTGCATGAAGAATTGCTGGGGCGCAACAAGACGAAAATAAAACCCGAAAATCATCTGCACACTCGGTGCTAAATGTTTGCTGCTGCTTTACAAATCGTCAGCAAATTTAAATCCCATGTTAGCCCAGTTCCAATTCCCAATCTCCCATCCCAATTCGCTCTCAATGGGCGGTCTGGGCATGTGGCCAAGTGTGAAACAGCTGACAGGCGGCTGCCACGAAGCGTCAAAGTGACTTTGGCTATGCCTCCAGCCTGCCACAGAGTTGGCATTTTTTGTTGTTGTTGCTGCCTCTTCGTTCTTTGCTCTAACAACTACACAAATTGCAAATGAGGAGTAGCAGCGAAGCCCACAAAAAGTGCTTCACGGAAATGCACAAGAATTCTTGTGCAAAAAACTAACCGAAAAATTGTATCAACGAGGGCGAAAAAATAGCCAGTAGCTGCAGAAGCCTGAAAACGATTGCATTTGACCTCAAAATCTATTAGCACGTCGAACTCTGGCGGCTATGAAATGCAATCATTGCCGCGCCCCCTCAGGGGTGCTGCATGCGCCCCCCCGAAATACTGTGAAGTTGCGGCAATAATTGCCACTAAGAGTTGTGTACACCCATGTCTGAGTGCATCTGCGACACGTAGGTCAGTGCATCAGCAGCAGCAGCAGCAGCATCAGAGACAGCCGCCGCTGCTGCTGTGGTCTGGGTCTGTCTTCTGTCTGGGTGCCTTCCTTGGCTATCTGCCGGCCTTTGGCTGAATCTCTTAAATGAAAAACAAAAAATCAAAAACAACTACAACCACAACACGAGCTACAAAAAGTTACGTTATTGCAACATTTACATGTCTTCTTGTCTGACGCATATTCACACTTGGGATTTTTCATGCATTTTTAGTTTTTTTTTTATTGCTCCGCAGATGAACTTTAATGGTGGCTCACGGGGGAAAGATTGGTGAGGGATAACTAAATACTTTTGAAGTTTCTGATTAATTGTTGAGAAAACGAAATGTCACAGCGAAACATCAGGTCATAAATTTATCATTTTATTTCTCATTTTGATAAAGCTACCCCCGACCCATTTGTCAGGGCCCACAGCAGCTGCCAGTTAGTATGAGATATGCAGGTACCATTACTCAGATATTTTCTATTCGGTAATCCCATTATGAATTTATTTGGACCTGCCCCGAAATATGCGCATGTATGTATGTATTGTGCAAATACACGTATTTAAACGCACATCATTTGAATGATTTATGAGTCCGTTCCCCCGCTACAATGGGCTTCATTTGAGCTATCCCGAAAAAAGTTATCTCTATCGCTGTGGCGGGGATGTGCCAATATAAAATAAGCTTTTAATTGCTTGCTTGCTGCGCAACAGTTTTATTTTAGAAACAATAACAAAAGCAAACAAAATGCCTGCTTGCCAAATCTCTGCTGTAAAATAAATAAAACCCAAAATGCACAATGGGCGGTGCGGCGCGGCACTTTCAAAACATTTCCCATGGGAAACCGAAAACGAAAACAAGCCGAGTGATTTGCCTAGACTTTTATGCATTTATAATGACATTTTTCACACAATTTATTTGCCCAAAAAAGCATTAGCTGCAGAGCATTTGCCATTTGAAATGTTTAACAATTTAATTCCAGTTCAGTCTTTGCCAGAATTTTGGTAGCACTTTGGTGATGGGTAATTAATTATACAAAAATTAGCATAACATTTTGCTTATGTCAAAGTTTAACACTAAAAACAGGAACTAGCCGGAGAGGGATGGGGGGCTGATGAATGGCAGCAGAACCTGCAAACTATTTTCTAAATATTTTTTATCTGCACACAATTTGAGTTCCCAAGGATGCCAGTGGCCTCTCCACTTGACTTGCATTCACAATTTCTCTCCCACCATTAGCCAAATGACCAGCATATCCATCCGCACCTGCATGGTGGCACTCCCAGACGCCAACCAAAAAACAATATACAGAAAAAGTCCCCCGCCGAATCAAGTTTTAGATATTGTTTAGTTTGAAGATGCGCTCCGGCTGACTTTATGCAATTTTATGCAACGGGAATTGGCAGGCAGATAGTCAGGCAGGCAGGCAGGCAGCCAGGCTTTTGGCTTTGCCTGCCGTTTCATAATGAATTTTCTGGTAAAGGTGAAATTTTCCTGCACACGAGCTACAAATAAAATAAAATAAAAACTACGGGTACGAGTATTTATCTGCTGAGAAGGCCACACAAGTGTCAGTGCAAGAAAGGTTGGCTTTCAGCAAATAAACCGCCGGATAAGCCCCCAACAATACGACAAACACGAAAAACCTAAAAAAAATAAATCAAATCTTGGAATAACACGTATACGACATGCAGCACATTTTTGCCTTAGTTTCTGTGTATTGTACGGGTTTCAACACTCTCCGCTCTCTGTGTGTGCCACAACACAATGTGCGATGTGCAGTTAACAACAACAATGACAACAAAAAAATGGTACAACAAATGCTTCCTTCATGTCAGCGCCAGCGACCGTAAAGGTTAAGCGCCAACTTGACAAAAAGGTTAAAACGATTTAACAGACATTTGGCTGCAACCCGAGAGGGAGCGAGAGAGAGAGCCAAGCACTGATCCACTAATGCATCATCGACTGCATCCTTAGCATATCCATCTCTTCATCTCTTCATCTCTCCATCTCTCGATCTTTGCAGCTTCCACTCTGCCCACAACTTTGTCTTTTGGTTGATATCTGCTCAAGGTGTTGCATGGCATGGTATGGCATGGCATGGCGCATGTGTTGAAGGCGGAACCAAATTTTTGATTGCAGAGACCCTCAGCGCGGCGGCGTTCGGCGTGCGACATGCCTCAAGGAAAATGCAAGGCAACCTCTGTTGCAGACACTTAACTGGCGCTAGCTTATTATTTTTGTTGCTCGCTTCAACACCTGCTGTTGCCATGGCCCATGCCATGGCATGGCGTTGACAATTTTTTCGTTGCTGCTGCTGTAGCTGCTGGTGATGATACTGGTAGATTTAGCGGAGAAACTTCCTTATTTGTCATTGTTGTCGTTGACAATTTTTTTGTGGTGCCTGTGACTTGAGCATCGAAATGCTTTCCCTGAAGATTTCCCCTTAAGAGATGATTGCACTTCTTCAGTGGCCTTCTCGGTGCCGTTTTTCCAAAGATGATTGAACTTCTTTCATGGATTTCGCTAAGCATAAGCCCACAGCCAAGCGATTCAACCTTCATCAATTGATCGCCAATTTAAATCCATTCAATGCACAAAAGCCTTGACAATGACAAAAAACCTCCTCTTTTGGTCGTGTAATTTGCAAATTGAAAATCGTGAATTGAAATTAAAATCTGAGCAGACAAAACGCGAGTGTCCGCGACTCAACAAAACCTCTTGAACTTTAACTAAATGTTTTGGGCTAATCGACTTAATTTACAATCTTTTATTAAATTTTTTAATGTCAAGTCTGCTGCAACTTACCATTGCATGATGACACTGCCGCAATTTAGTTTTCTGTGTGTACATTACGTTACGTTATTTTGATGAAACTTAAATTTAGGTGTGAGAATATTTGCCATGCAGAGGAGAAGCGAACCCCCAACCCCAACCCCCAAGGCAATCAACTAATTTAAATACAAAAAAGCAATTTCGGCAACCGAAGAATATCCAACAGTTAGACAATGCTGAAAGGCAGAATCTCAGCAGCCACCCCCTACTCCCCCTCCCCCACCCACTGCTGCACCTCTAAAGCTGCAGCTAATTTAAATTTAAATTTATGTTTCGTTTCGAGATTCTGTTCGATTGATGCTATTGTTATTGAAAATGTAACTACGTGTTTTGTGTTTTTTTTTTTAGGATTACGTAAAGCAAATAAATTACTTAAACCATTGAAAATGATTTAATTGAAACGAAAAAGAGTGTCGCTGGGCGCCAAGCCGGTTCGTTGGCTGGTGTTGATCTCTCGTGTTGTCTCCCCAATGTTTTTGATATTGTTTGCTGTGTTGTGCAAATTAAAACAATTATATGAAATTATGCAAAGTACGCAGAAACTACGGGAACAACAGCAGCAGCAGCAGCAGCAGCGGCAGTGGCAACAAATTCAGCGACAACAACAGCTGCAGAAACGAGCTGACGGAAGCCAGCGATACCCAAACGATACCCCAAAGTGAATGTCTGAGGAGGGGACTGGAGTGGATTGGATTGACTGACTGCCTTACTGAATGGCTGAATGACTGACTGACTGACTGACTGAGGCGTAGACTGACAATCCTAGTCGGAGGGAGGCATAGCAGCTGCCTGTGCAGTTCCTGGTCAGACCTAAAATGTAATAATTTATGGCGCATACGCCCTGTGGTACACCAAACCCAAAAATGCAATCTCCCCCCCAAATCTGCATATCTACCCTTTCCAATCTGCATACGAGTATCTCCCCTACCCAATCAGCCCATACGACTATCTATATAAGGTGTAGAGATCTCTAACTATCTGCCATAAATTTCGCATCTTCTGCATGCGTCTGTGGGCGTATCTCTCTCCCCCTCTCTCTCTTTCTCTCTCAACAAGTTATGCAATCGACTGTGAGCCTTTTTGTTCGCGTTGTTTCGTCTTCCATTCGGCACATTGACAACTCTTGGGGCTGCTTCTCTGCCTCTCTGATTTGTGCAAGCCCAGAGTACATTTATTATTTCTGTTTGAATAATTTCTACTATTGCCCAATAAAGTATCTGCCGGTGTATTTTGTACGTGTTTTTCTGCTAATAATTATTTATTTTGTCTTCTTGCTCTTTGGCTTCTCCCACGCTCTTTTGCAATAAATATTCATAATTTGTTTTTAACCGGCTAAAATATTATTTCTCCTTCTTTAATTCCAGGCAATTCCAAATACAAAATGCGGTGTACGCAGCTCAATTTGTTGTGTGGTAAGTGAATGTGAATATGGTTATGAAGTGTTTACCCAAAAGATTTCTATCATCAAGAAACCTATGTAAAATAATAACACAACTATAGAAAATATATTTCACCCCTTTATCTACATATAAACTATGACATCCTTGACCTTGTCAGTCTCATAATTTTTCCCATGATAGATCTTCCACCCAATGGCATATGCACATCCACTACGCTCTACGCTCTTGACAGCCCAAAGGCAACGCATTTTGGCCGCCGCGTGCGTGTGCCATGGCGGGGGCGGCAGCCCCAACCCAAACTCAGACCCAAACCCGGCCAAAGATTGCGTTAATATGCCTTTGTCTTGGCCGGCAGTTGCGTGAGCTGTCTAGTTTTTGTTTTGTTTGGTTTTGGCGTGCGACAAAAATCGTTTGAAAAAAAGAAAATATAGGTAGACTTAGATTAAATGTGACTTTGATTTGAATTAATGGATCGGACGAGATGAATGCTTGGGAAATGCAATTTTTAACGGCTCATTAGGACGGCCAAGACCCAAATGCCAGAGCCCCGACGCACCAGTGACAGCTCATCTCCCCGAGAGCGGCAGTGTGGTGGGCAAAGTCAACAATAGTCCGATCTTTGAGTAATTACGCGCCCATCGACAGCGCCTCTCAATTAAGACCCATACCCATACGCTGTGTGACCCGCTGTGAGGCTCACGAATCGAAAAACCAAACCGAAAGAAACCCCCAGCCCGAAATTGATGTACAACGTGGCGTATGCTTAATGCGATTGGACCGAATCGAATTTTGACCCCCGGTTGCCAATCAACGGACATAAATTATGGGCAATTGTTTAATTTGTTTAAGGCAGGCAGCGGCTGGCAGCAAAAGCAAACACCCTCAACGTCTTCGTCGTTCGCGGGGTCTCCCATGCCATCCCATCCCATCCATCGATGATTCATATAATCACTGTGATTATGCATCAAGTGGACCTTGAATCTGGTGGTTATTTTGGTTATTCAATAGCCTGCCTCCCTCTTCGGACAGTCTGTGCATCTCTGTTGGTGTCGCTGACATCTTCTTCTGTGGGGCTACAGCATGACTGTTTTTTATCTTTCCGTTTCGTTTCTTTAATTGTTTTTATGGCTTAAGATTTAATTGTTGCACTAGGAGGAATACCCTTAGAGAGGGGGGGGGGCCGGGGCCTAAGGTCAGTCACATCTAATACCCATCCCCAGTCACCGGTTGCGTAATTTGGCAATGTCTGCATATGATATTTGCTTGGAATGGCATGGAAAAGTCAAGGCCCGAGTGTAGACATTCTAAACAGAAGAGAATCCGTAGCCGAAATGTTAATGAACCAGACATAATTAAAGCAAGCGAATAATTGCTCATTTAAAGTCTTAAACGGAATGAATATGTATGAATATATTTTATGGAATAGGAAGAGATATCTAAAAATTATTTTATTGTGCATTCCTTTAATTATATTTCATTTATACTTCACAGCTCTTCTCCTGCTGGCAGTTCTAGGCCACACAAGCGCAGAAACCAAGGTATAATTATGCCCTAAAAACTCTATCCAGTAGATCCCTAAACATTTATTCCACTTTCTGCTACAGTACCGCACACCTGCACGCATTTTGGCCAAGCAAACGGGCGCCACCCAATTCGAGGAGGAGCGCTACGAGGCGCACCCGAACTGCAATGAGCACAAGCATCACCTGAAGAAGCGCGCCTCCGACGAGGATGTGGACTATGAGGTGTACCAGGGCGTGGTGGGCAGGCCGGGCATTGACTTTCCCATTTACCCAAGGATACCCAAGACCTCCTTTAGCTGTCGCTCCTTTGGCAATGGCTACTTTGCCGATATGGAAACGGACTGTCAGGTGAGTGGTGCAACTCAGTCCGCAGAGAATCTTACGATTAATCTACTCTACTCCCCTTGCAGGTCTTTCACATCTGCGAAGAGGGACGCAAGATCTCGTTCCTCTGTCCAAATGGCACCATCTTCCAGCAGAGCGAGCTCACCTGCGACTGGTGGTTCAAGGTGAACTGTTTGGGCTCCTCCGGCTACTATGCAGAGAGCGCTGAGATCCTCAACAAGCAGCGTGTCCATCGAGTGCGTCCCTCAGTGCCTGTCCAGGGCTTCAATATTGTCGGTGGCGGCCTGAACATCAAGCCAAAGGTCACTCCTGTCGCTGGCCAAGCGCGGGCTGGTCCTCGTAGCAAACCCGACAGACGCATCGACTCCATGGAGGATGTGCCCGCCTCCGTGGAGAGCGTGGACTTTGACGATGTGTCCGGGGAGAAGCAGCGCAAGGTGCTGCCCAGCATCGACAACAACAGCAACGATCACGAGACCCAGATCACCGCCGAGAGCTCCTCCTTTGTGAGCGGCTCGGGCAAGCGTCGCAACAACAAAGGCAGCGACTCCAACAGGAACAGCAACGATGATGTCACTGTGCTGAAACCCTCCAGGAATAGGACGCCATTGGCTACACAGGAACGGACTCCACTAGCCACTCAGGAGAGAGCTCCAGTGGCCTCTCAGGAAAGGACTCCACTGGCTTCGCAAGAAAGGACTCCACTGGTCTCACAGGAAAGGGCAGCCTCTCAAGAGAGGGGAGCACCTCGAGGCGAATCCACGGAGCGCGCAAGGCAGGGGCAGCGCGGACAGCATAGATGGCGGGAGAGCGGCAGCGAAGAGCACAGCAAGGAGAGAGAGCGCGAGAAGCCCATTCTTTCCTTCAAAGAGAAACCCACCGCCAGCTCCCAGCAGAAAGAAAAACCCACCGCCAGCGCACAACAGAAGGACAAGCCCACCGCCAGCTCTCAATTCAAGGACAAGCCCACTTCTGGCTCCCAGCTGAAGGACAGGCCCAACTCTGGCTCCCAGCTGAAGGACAAGCCCGAGTTCTATGAGGCGCACTCCACGCGCTCCGTGCCACACACGACTCCTTACTTCACAGCTGGCAGCTACTCCACCGCCCGTCGCCTTGAGCCCAGCAAATCCACGCCCTTCTACACGCCCACTGTGCCGAGTCTGATCAAGTCCAAGACCACGGAGGGAAAGCTGAACTACATCAAGGGAGGACACTCGGCCACGACACCCAATCCGAATCGCTTTGGCGGCGCCAGCTCTGGCATATTCCTGGAATCATCGGTGGCGCCCAAGATCAAGCCCACAGCGAGCGGAAGCATTGAGCTGGACAGCACCTACAAGCCGGTGATCATTGGCATGCGGCATCACTACGATGTGGCGAGTTCCGGGGAGTTCCGAGCGCCAAGCAAGCTGAGCGACTATCTGCCAACGACGCCTGCTCCCTCGGCCACGAGCAGTGGGCCCACCTACCTGCCAAAGAGCGCCATATCCCCGCGGGGAAATGCAGCAGCTGCAGCTGGAGAGGATGCCCTGCTCTTTGCGCCCAATCCCGTGAAGGAGGAGTCTGTGTTCCGCAATGTGCAGGATATGCTCAAGACGATGAACCTGCTGAAGGATCAGTTCGAGGACGTGGAGCTAAGTGGAGCGGCAGCTGCAGCGGCACCAGCAAGAGTCGGCCTGGAGATTCCACCCTCCTCGGGACCCGATGCCTTGGTGTCCCTGGCCAAATATTTCGCACAGGAACACAACGAAACAGTAAATGCTCTGCTGGGCAAGCCAGAGAAGTCCGAGAAGCCCGAAAAGGTGAAGACGAAACTCTCGGTGAAGCCACCGCCGCTGCCCACAGCCAAGCCATCGGACACCACAGCCATTCTGACAACGTCCGAGAATCCGCCTGCGATCAGCGAGAATGCGGATGACATCAAGCACAGTCTGCTGAGTGACAACACCGTCAAGAAGTACAGCAGCCTCTTTGGCTTGAAGCCCGCCAAGGGTCGTGTCGCTGGGGAGACGGAAATCAGCACCGGCCTGCTCTCGCCCAAGCCAAACGAGACGCAATCTCTGCCTGAGTCCGAGCAGGGTTCACAGTACCAGCAGTTCCCACAGATCGGAACCACTGGCTCTACCATAGGCGCGCTGGCCGAGAAGCCCGAGTCGCGTAAGATTGCGCAGATCTTTTCGAATGCTTTGTCCAGCTATCTGGATAATCCTGCCACATTCCGGGCTGAGCTGGCGGCCCGTGCACGCCCCACAGAGCCACCGGTAACGCCCAACTTCAAGCCAGTGACCACCACGGACTCCTCGCTGTTCAGCGACGGTACGGCCAAGTACTATCTGCCCACCAATGCCGTGCCCGTGGCAACCACACCCACGCCACAGAGCATTGCAGTGGAGATCAATCACAAGTTCGATTCGACGCCGGCGCCAGAGTACTCCACCACGACGGAGCTGTACGAGACTAGCACGACCCGGGGCCAGGAGCTGGAACTGTCAGCAGAGCTCTCCCCGCCCAGCGCAGACTCCGGAGAGGGAGACGAGTTCCTGCAGCAGCAGCAGACCCAATCCTTTGTGAAGTCCCGCAATGATCTGCTGATAGATTCCAGGCCACAGAAGCTGATCACCACCCACAAGCCCACCGAGCATCCGTGGACACTGAAGTCTCAGACCGATTTCCTGGATCCCCTGACCATCAACGACGGCCTGATGAAGGAGCAGCGCACCTCAACGACCACAACGTCCACGAAGGCACCGTTCACATACCTGCCAAGGCTGCTGTCGGGCGTGGGCACCACAACGCCCACACCCTCGCGCTTTGAGTGGGAGGACATCTTCAGGAGCTACGACATACCCAGGGATGCGCTGCCCTCGAGCAGCGGCCTTCAGCGCATTGCCAACAAGTTGTTTGGCGGCCTCAACGAGCAGGAGGCGCTGCATCTGCGCAATGTGATGGCTAAGGCGGAGCACGATCGTCAGGTGTTGAGTCTGCTGCTGCTGCTCATCCAGACCTGCGACGATCACAACGGCAAGGCGCTGGAGCGTTCCAGGAAGCATTTGCTCAATGCTCTCATCGATATTGATAGCAAAGTGCCAGCAGGTGCAGGGGCAGGGCCAGGGCCAGGGAAACCCTCCAGACAAAGGCTGGCCACCACCACCACACGCATTCCGGTGACCACATTCCGACGAAATGGTGGCGGCGGGGAGTACTTTACCAGCACCACGCCCGGCTATACAACCACAACGGATGTGCCGCTGTTTAGCACCACAACGGGGTCGGGCAGCAACGAGGAGACGACCAAATTTGAGATACGCGTCGAGGATATTGAGGATGACTTGGGGGCGGGGACGGCGACAACAATGGCACCCACGCTGCTGCCATTCGAGGGCAACTCGGATCGTCGGGCCCTGGAGCTGCTCAAGTCATTATATTCGCTGGCATCGAAGTTCAGCAGCAGGCGGTAAGGCCGCAATGAGATGAATCGTTGGCGGGTTCCTAGCGATATGCGAAAACTTTTGCGAGTTAATGCCTAACTTTTAGTCAACTCCACTCCACACTTCACACACCACACTCCAACACTGCAACACTCCACACTCCACACTCCATACCCTTCACTCTTCAGTTTGATTTATATTTTAATTTAATTACAATTACAATTTACTTTATGAGTTTTCTCCACCCATTTTCCACTGTCTCTTGTTAATTAATTTCGTTTAGCCAATGCAATTTTCGCAAAAATAGTTTGTAAATATGTAAAAGTTCGAAACGAAATGAAACGAAGCGAAATACTCCCCTGAAATACTCTCGAGGCATAGACTTGGTCAATTCCTGAATTAAGCCCAGCCAAGCAGTTTCCGCATTAAGTATACAATTTACTATACACATAATCGAGCGATGTATTAAATTAGTTTCATATATTAGTCTTAACTAAAGCAAAAACACACACACACAAAAAACACAAACCACTTTTCCATCCAGTATCCAGTATGAGCGATCTATTTTGTATCCATCCGTTCTGTATGTCTTGCTGTTCTGTTTGTAAATATTTATTTAAACTTAATAAAGTACATAATAAAAATAAATACAAAATATATTTAATACAGGTGTTTTTACTTAAAGAATTAATGGAGAAATTGGGGAAGACTTTAAAGATTTAAAAGTAAAGATTACAGGTGGGGAGTGCTAGTAAATTACACAAAAAGAATTCTTCCTGAAGTCTCTGAAGAAAAGAGCTTTCTAAAAAGATAGAACCAAATTTAAATGCCTCAAAGCAGAAGAATCAGAACTAATCCGATTAAACCATTACAATATTGGTCAGAACAGCCCATAACTCCTCTGCTGTTATCCCAAAAAAGACGCATCCAAAGATGTCTCCTTGACACAAAACGAATGACGAGTATGATTGCTGCTGCTTTTGCCCAGCTCTAATATAAATCTTGAAGACACCGCATCGGGAAGGTCAGCCACAGAACAAATGACATAAAAATCCACAATGTAATCAAACGAAATTTAAATATTTTTGTCATTTTCGCAAGCGAAGAAACCGCATCCCGGGATCCATTCTAAAAAAGCGCTGAAGGACAAAACCAAATCAGATTGAACATTGTACGAGTATTGCACTTGAAATGGCCATAATATTCAATTGATCGGCGCGGCGTCGATGCAGCTAAATATTACGTATACGTAATGCATTTTATTGCTTGTACAAATGGCATAGGGTCCGGTCGGTGATATATGAATTCTGATAACTGGTAAACCGAAGCATCCCCCGCCCCCACCATAACAACAATGGACAATCCAGGGGTCATAAATCTGCTAAAAGCGCAGGCACCAAACGAACTGACGAACTGTCGTCGTCGTCGTCGTCGTTGGTCGTTGGTCTGGGGACAGCTGCCACATAAATATGGCAAAGATGCAGCAGCAGCATCCATTGCATTGGCTGAGAACTGCAGCGAATTTAAAAATTGGTATAAATTTCTAACAACGTTCTTGCTTCGCCTACAGTTGCTATCGACGGGTGCCCGAGTGAACCACGTAGGCAAAGGATTGAAAGGATAAACAAGATCACATACAGGGAATAGATTCATCCTCATTTTGGACCAACATTATGCAAGTTCATCGCTGCTGCTGTGGCGTCTTGGCAGGTGAGTCTTGGCCAATGCGTTGTGCCTGACCCAGACCCACTGCCAGTCCACCCAAAGGCCTGCTGCCTGAGGCGGTACTCAACAGTGACGAGCGATCGGCTGTCCGCCCCATCATTATTAGCACTTCCTTTTTGGAGGGCGTCTGTCTGTCTAAGTTTTTGCTGCCTTGCATATTTACGATGCATGCGTCTTGGGGCAGCGCAGCCTCTTGTTGTTGGCAGCCAATTGATGTTGGAGTGCGTTCTTGTTGCAACAGGCACAGTGGAATAGGCCACAAAATTAGCAAGTATAATTTGGATTAAACTGCGAATGAACAGAGTAAACGGAGGGCTACTTCGACTGTCTTTTCGGATACTTTTCCTCTCGTTTCGAGAGTCATCTTTGGGTAAACTTTTAGCAGTTTAATGCTCAGCAAAACCCTTCCAAAAACCCTCCCAATTCTTGTACCACTGTCTGCCTGTGGCTGAGTAGGAAGCTGATAAATAAAGATCGCAATGCAGAACCGTCTAAGACGCGCGCTATCAGCCCGCTAGAATCGCAACGTACTTGGCCTTAATACGGATACGAAACTCTTCTCTTCACTTCACTTCGCTTCGCTTCGGTTTTGCTGTCGATCTGTGGCTGGTGGCGTTCATTTCGATTTGGCGCGTCGACTGGCCCACAGCACGGAGAGCACACGGAGCCACCACAGAGATCTTAGCCACAGTTTCCACTCCCACTCCACACACACACACACACACACACGTTAATCGCTTTCTAATGTTCGTTCCAGTTCTGGTGCTGCTCTGGAGCGGTAGCTTAGCCCAACTGCAGGTCCAGGTGAGTGCGTGAAAGAGTGCCGTCCCCTGGCATACGTTGAAATGTGTTCTGTTGCGCAGGCTCAAAATGGCTACAACTATGGCCGACCGGAGCTGGCCAGTGCCGGAGGTGTTACAGCCGGTGGACGGCTCAGCCCGGGTGCCTATCCCACAGGCACAGCCTTGCCGCTGACCCCCGCCCCCGCAACGACAGCCTATGGAGCGGGTTTGTTTCCTTCTCCGGCTGTGGGCTTCACGCCCAGCGGACAGGCAACGACTGCTTTTGGCGCACCTGCTGTTGTGGCCGGAACCGGAAGTATCCCGAGGAGACCCGCGCCAGGTGGCATTGCAACGGCGCCCTCTCGCAGCGGACCCTACGGACCGCAGACCTCGCAGTACGGCAATGCTCAAGTGTCCGCTGGCCGCGTGTCAAGTGGAACCGGCGGCGATGGCGACTACAGCGATGGAGAGGGCGACTATTCGGCCATTCCGGGCACGCCTGGAGTCGATTATCCCGTCTACGCGCAGGTGCCACGCACAAACTTCGACTGCACCCAGCAGCCGCTGCCCGGATACTATGCGGATATCGAGGCCCAGTGCCAGGTCTTCCACATATGCGCCCTCAATCGGACCTACTCCTTCCTCTGCCCCAATGGCACGGTCTTCAGCCAGGAGACACTCGTCTGCGTGTGGTGGAACCAATACGACTGCGTCTCGGCCCCCAGTTTGTATGCCAACAATGCCTACATCTACGACTATTCCGGAGGCAGTGGCGCCAGTGTCAATGCGAATGCCTACCGTCAGGGACAAGTGGCGGCAACGACGGCATATGGAGCACCTGTTTCGGCCACTGCAACTGGAGGCGGTGCCCTAAGAGCCACTGGAGTGCCACAGGTCGCTGGCTACAATGCCGGTCGCGGCTCCTATCCCTCGCCCACACCCACGCCCGCGGCACAATCACAATCTCCGTACGGCGCAAGTGCGCTAATTCGTCCTGCCATTCTCCCAGGCAATGTCCAGGCTTCGGCTGTCACCAATCGACTGGCAACCGCTGGCGCAGCTGCTGGTCTCCTGGCCACAGCCGCCGGTGTTCTGCCCGACAACGGAGTGGGCGGCTTTGGCCAGCAGCCGATTGTGGCAGGTGGCAACCGAGAATATTTGCCGCCAGCTAACGCTGGACAGCGTCAACGAGGCGCCGTGTAGGAGACGAGACGAGACGAGACCCTCTGGCACTTGTACCCGGTTATATGGCAATAGACACTGTGCATACCCTAGGCTTAGGCGACATTTGCAACATCTTACTAGATTGTTAGGAGCTCCGAAACACACACACAAACACGCAATTTAGTAACAGAATCGTTGTACTTTCCATTCCATTTTAAATATACCATAATGAACGTTTTTTTACTGTGAAATTGTTGGAGTTTTAGTCTCTTTTTTGGAAGGATTCTGCTGCTATATTCCTCCCAAACGGAATACCTCATATGCATGCACAAATTTTAGCTCTAAGAAACACTTATACTGCCTGCCATAATCTTTATCTATCGCATTCCATTCGCTCTTTATTGTAGCGCACTTAGAAAATCCAATTGCAATGTTTGCTTGTCTTTAGAGAGTGCCAATTTCCCCTGTTTCAGCAGCTGGTTGTATTCCTGCTTGAAGTCCGAGCGAATAAACATGGGCTTGCCTTTTTTCAGCTTGGGTTGGCTTGCTTTGGGCAGCGCTATCGTTGGATTAAAGGCCATTTGCGTGCTGTCGTACTGTGTAAACAGTTCATGGGATGTGCTGGAAAAAGCAAATACAAATTAAAATCAAGCAAGAAGAAGGGAAGAGGCGTAAGTTTCACTTACAGTTTGCCAATATCCGTGGGCAGTGCACCCTCACCCGAGGCGGGCACACCATTGGCAATATGCATGGCCAGTCGTCGCACCGTGGGATGATAGTGACGTGCCAGTATGGTCAGCTCGTACAACGACGTTGCAGCCGCATTGCAGAACTCAGGATCCTCCAATTCGGGATCATAGCGACCCGAGCCAATGGTGCAGTCCGTGTCGAGCAGAGCATCCAGCACGGAAGTCAGCTGGAATGTCTGCTTGATGGTTCCCAGTGTCGCCAGAGTGCCATTATGCAGCAGATACAAGCTGCCTGTTAGCAGACGCTTCACAAACGCCATCAGACGCTGCTGGCTCATGTTGCGCCGCCGCTTGACCAGCACCTCGTCGAGAGTGCGCAGAATGATGGTAAAGTCAGCGTGATTCTTGCCCGCCTGTACGGCCAGCATGTTCCGATAGAAATGCTGATAGAAACGTATGGGATCAATGTTCAGGACCTCGCCCTGTCCGGATAGGATAACAAAAATTGTTTGTATACAGTGCAGACGCTCCCGATAGCCCAATTCGTCCTGCTCCTCTAGTATCTGATTGAGCACGTTGATAAGGTCAGAGAAAAAGTCCAGATTTATGACATGAGCAAATCTGTAAGAGAAATTGGAAGATTAAAGAAGCTTCAAGGGCGGGACTAAAAGCTAAACTCACTCTGCTAGGCCTTCCAGTATGGCGCTCAGCACACGCGATGTGGGATCATTCTTTAGCACGCGAAAGTAGATGGTGAATACCATTTTGATGATCTCCGTGAGCTTCTGTAGCTTCACTTGCTTGTTCTCCTCAGCGCGGGTCTCTTCGAGCTCTTTGTTGAGCTCCGTCAGCTTCTTTCTCCGCTTGCGTTCCTTCTTGGACATGCTAATCAATCGCTGGCGATGCGATTCCAGCTTCTTTTGCTTCAGTTCGTTCTCCTTCTCGGCATCCAAATTGACATTCTTGATCTTGAGACCCAACATGCAGGTGATGCACTCCACATGGACATTGTTCTGCTTCGTCTTGATCAGCTGATTGATGCGACGCACAATAAACAGACTCATATCCAGCTTCTTGTCGTTGGCAAAGAGCGAGCGAAAGCATTGATTGACGGTCTGACGCATGGTGCCGTAGTGGCAGTTGAGCATGTAGACCAGCAGTTGGGCAATGTTCTGAACGTAATTGAAGTACGGATGGGCCTCCAGCAGCTCGCACATGCACTGCACGGCCACGGTGGCCAGTTTCACGGTTTGTGGATTCTTCAGGCCTCCTCGTTTGTTCACCTGCGCCGTGAACTGTTCCAGCTTCTGCAGGAACTTCTTGAACTGCTGCAGCAGCGCATTCTCGAAGGTGACACGCTCCAGCGTGGCCTTGCGCACGGTTTGCATTTTGGTGTCGATTTGTCCCACACGATACTCGGGCAGGATGTCCTTAAAGATCTCCGTAACCGAAATGATGGCCAGCTTGCGCACTGGCATTAGGTTGGGCAGCCCACTGGCCGGGTTTATCTCGTCCATTAGCTCGTAGAGGGCGTGAAAGTTGCGCATCTTATCCTCTGGCTTCTCCAGCATGCCCGAACAGATGATGCCGATGCGATACTTTTGACGCTCGATCTCCTGCTGGCGGGCAATCAGCAGATCTGTGGTGGAAATCATTTTATTTGTGGGCTCCATGGTGGGTGCAGCCTCATCGTTGACCACATCATCATCGCTGTCGCCAAATTCACTCGCCTCGTCGTCATCCTCTTCGTTAATCTCCACATCCGAATCCTCCTGCTGCTTCTGCAGCTTCGGTTTGGGCACGTAGTCCACTTCTGTGGTTCTGGTTATAATCTCGCCATCCCTGGACTTTATGGGCAGCAGATTCACCTTAATCTTTTGCGTTTGCTCCTCCTTTTTGGTGGCCGTGGCGTAGGCCCTCTCGAGGCCCACAGACTGCTGCTGATCATCCACATCTTCGACTGTCTTGGCCTTCCGTTTGCGCTTGTTTTCATTGAGCAGCGCCAGATCATCTCCATCCAGCATGTCCGCAATGTTGTCCAGCAGATCGTCATCATCCCCGTCGTCGTCGTCAGCATCGAGTGGATCCAATCCCAGGGAGGACAATTTATTGTGCTTCTTGCGCTGGGCCAAGTTATCCCGCTTGCGTGCCTTCTGTGAGAATATACTGGGGCCCTGTTCGCGTTTGGAGCTCAAGTTTTCACGTTTTTGTTTAATTTTATTTTGTTGCTGTTTTGTGAGCGGCGTTTTCTTCGACTTCAGATGAGCCGCACGCTTCACCGAGCTGATTTTCACCTTTTTCTGCGGGTAGAACAGTTGCATTTGAGTAATGTGAGCTTAGTTGTGTTTATTTTACTACTTACCACCGCCATTATACTTTATTTAATTGATAAAACGTGTAAATAAAATTAAATGTTGATTTCCGAGCACATGGCACATAAATGGGGCTGCCACACTGCAGAGAAATGAAACAGCTGTGTATTAGGGTTGCCAGATTGTTGAACTTAAGTCAATAGTGCTGCCACATATTTTTGCGTGTCACGATTTTGTCAAAATAAAGGCAAAATAACAATAATGTCTGAAGATGAAGAGGATTACATGTCCGACAAGTTCCTAGCGGGGTAAGTGTGCACCCCAAACAGCTCAAACCCTAAACTAATGATCCCCCCACAGCCTGCAGGATGTGCGCCCCAGCTTGGTGCAAGATCGCGGGAAAAAACGAGCCATCAAAGTTCAGACCAAGCAGCAGGAAAACCGTAAGCGGCAACGAGAGACTGCTGCAGCCACCTCCAACTTGAATAATGATCGATTGCAGCAGAATCTGAACAAACCGTTGGCTGCGGACAACAAAGGATTCCAGTTGCTGGCCAAAATGGGCTACAAGGCGGGCAGTGGTCTGGGTAAACAGGCGGATGCACGCATCGAACCCATTGGCATAACGATAAAAAACGATCGCGGCGGCTTGGGCAGAGAGGCAGCAATCGCGGAGCTAACTGCCAAGCGACAGGAGCTACGCCGAGCTCACCTGCTGCACAGGGCGGGAATCGATTCGAGAGAGGAGATCAGCACAGAGGCATACCGGAAGAGAGCCATGCAAAAGGCAGAGGAACGCAAGCTGCAGTACGATATAAGGCGGTGCCAGCAGACCTGTGAATCCCTAGATGTTGCCACGAATGTGCCAGAGCCTGATCTAGAGTTCTTCTGGCCACCAAAACCAAAGGAGGAAGAGGAGAGCGACAGTGACGTAGAACAGGACGCGCCTGAAGAAGAAGACCTTCCAAAGGAGGAGCAATACAGTGCCGCCGAGCAGCTGGAACTGCTTATGGGCTACCTTCGCACAGCCTATACCTTTTGCTACTGGTGTGGCACACGCTACGACAGCGCCGAAGATCTGGAGACCAACTGTCCCGGTCTCACCCGCGACGACCATTAGTTGGGGGCGGGGCACAACAAATACATTTATAATTATTAAATATATATATAAGTTCACAAAATCTCTGCACGTTTACAATAATTTACAATAATACGTAGTCAAAAAACATTTAGCGGTGTGTTAGGGTTCGTTACTGTATACAAGAAAGGAGGGGGGCTATAGACGAGTTGGAAACGACGTGGGCGTGAGGCGTGTATGTGAAATGAGCAGAAGAGAAGCTATACGCGACCCTCCAGTTTCTGTATCAGATCGTGAGTGCGTTCAATGACGCTGTAGATGAACGGCCGCTCCATGGGATCCGTGCGCAGCATATAGTTTATCAGGTCATGCATGTCCTAAAGAGACAAATTCGAGGAATTAGCAAAATAAAGCAGTAATGGAGAAGCTTCCGCCGTACCTCTGTATAAATGGAATCCTCTGGAATGTTTATATTGCCGCTGAGCACGGCCAAGGCAACGCTATCACCACGCTCATAGATGGGATCGAATGGGGAGTTGAAGTAGCACATGGCATACAGCACACAACCAAGACTCTGCAAGAGAAAATGCATTACTAAATGTTCAGCTATCATCAGAACTGATTACTCACCCATATGTCCGTTCTTTCGTCAATGGTGCAGTAGCTTTTCACAGTAAACAGCTCCGGGGCACGATACACAATTGAGCTACGCTCCTCGGCCTCATCCTGCAGACGCTGTGCATCCGATTGGCTAACTATCTGCAAGCGTGCCTCCGTCATGGAGCCCAGATCCACGATAATGGGCTCAAACGAATCCGATAAGCATATGTTGGCAGTTTTCAGATCACGATGGGCCAGGGGCACAGGCTTCGCCTCATGGATGGCTTTGACGCCCTCGCAGACGCCCAGAAAGATTTGCACAATCTGCGCCTCGGGCATGTGGTCCTGCTTCCGGGACCGCAACTGCAGATGATCCAATAGTGCGCCATGCTTGTAGTACGGCAGCACAATGTACAATGTGCTCGTTGTGTTGATGACGATGTCAGCCTGACCCTTTAGCTCGTAATCAACCACCCGGATCACATTTTCCGAGTCGATTTTCCTGCAATTCTCGATCTCCCGCAGAGCAATGTTCTGGTCGTCGATGCTGTGGCAGGTGATGCGCTTTATCGCATAGCTCCGTCGGGTGCTTGGATTCTCCCCAAGGTCTATCAGACTGAAGCCCCTGTGTACAGCAGATAGGAATAGATAAGATATTTTCAGATTCATGGAACAGAGAAATTGTGTCAGAGGTTACCCCGTTGCCAGCCTTTCGCGAATCGTATAGCGGGAGCCATTGATGTTGAGCGTCTCTTTTCTGCAAAAGCAGCCACGTTTCATAATCAGGGTCCAACCAATGCTTTGCATTTTGTATCTATTACACTATATACTTGATAATTTTAAGCCTAACAACTAGTTTAATTCATATACAAAACCTAAATATAAAACAGTTTGGATCTATTAGCATGTTTATGCGGGGTAATGTTGCCAATTTACGGTGATTGTGAACTGAATTTGTTATTGTTATGTGTTTGCTGATTATGATTTGTATGTTTTAAATCTAAGGTGAATTTATTTTGGTAAAATTGTATTTTATTTGTATGTATTTGAATAACTAAAGAGTGAAAATTAACGTACTAAATTAAAGATTTCTAAAATCATGAATATGCAACCGCATAATCAGAAAACCTATTCGCGCTGCGCAGCTGTTCCAAAGACAGGGCTGTTATTGTGGACATGTGGCTGCAGAGCGTTGCCACCTGGCCATCGATGGTTTTGCCGATTCGATTCCAAATTAATTTAATTTTAATCTTTAATTTAATCAATGACAACAATGGAGGATGAAGCCTGGCGGGATCTCATTGGCATAAGTGCAGACCCGCCCGACGGACGCGACAAGTGCGAACAGTGCAAGTGAGTGAGAGTTGCCTAAATCTGTCTCTGAAATTTCAACTCATTGTGGTGCTTCTTTTTCTGCAGGCGACCCGCTGTTGTCTGCTGGTGCTCCGCCTTACCGCAGCCACCGCTGTTGGTGGCTTCGCAAATTGTGATACTACAGCACCCTGCCGAAGAGAAGCGTTCCCTTCGCACTGCCCTGATGCTCCAGCTGGGCCTGGAGCCGGGAAAATGCGTTGTCTACAAGGGCAAACGATTTCCCAATAACAAAAACTATGCGGAACTGCAGCAAATCTTCGATTCGCCGCAGACGCTGGTTCTGTATCCTAGTAAAGATTCTGTGCCTTTGGAGGAGATCGATCGCAGTGCCGGTCCATACACTCTGGTGCTCATCGATGGAACCTGGCCGCAGGCAAAGGCCATCTACGCCAGCAGTCCCGCCCTTCATCGCCTGCGTCAGGTGAAACTCATATCTGTGGGCATCAGCGACTATATCATTCGCACCCAGCCCACGGAAGGTTGTCTGAGCACTCTGGAGACGGCAGCCCAATGTCTGGCCGTGCTGGAATCCCAGCCAGAGCTGCGAAAGATACTGGTGCGCCCGTTGCACGCCCTGTGCAAATACCAGCTTGACAATGGCGCCGTCGAGCATCAGTCGAAGGAGTTCCTGATGAAGACAAATCAATATCCCAAGCCCATTGGCAAGAGATTGAGTCGCCTGCTTAATCAAACCGTGTGCGGACCCGCGGAAGAGGAAACGTGATAGAGAGAAGGACACTAAACAGTGTAGTTTATGCTTTTTACATAGTTTTATAGCGAACTCTGTGCACGGCCATAGCAATATTTAGCCATTTAATACAAATAATTTGTAATTTTGTACCCAAAATTTGAGTAGTTTACACAACTGGAATGTTCCTGGCATCTGTGAGGGAGCGCAGGACAACGCACTTGATAATGGCAAAGCCTCTCTCACAGGCATTCGCTTCTTCCTCTACGGGAATTCAAGTTTTTGAATGTATTTGGAACAGTATATTCTGCGTGGGATTACTTACTGCCCTCTTTCTCGCAGGCTTCGATGGAATCGCCAGTGGCTGGCCAAACATATTTGCGCACAAGATCCGCATTTAGTTTGTAGTTATCCATTAAGCCGGATTTTTCAAAGAAGCAATGGAAATAGCACTAGAAATATGGCAGCCAATAGAATCTGGTATCAGAAGGTGCTCTTTGATTACCCCTTACCATGCTCGTTTTATCCTTATCATCCGGCAGAGCTCCTGTGGTATTGAACTGCAGGACACTCGCTGAAAGAGTCGATAGTTTAATACCCTAAATAGTGATCCTTTCCTCCCCTGACTCACACATTGGTGTGATAAAACTTGCATTGCAGTTCCGCGTAACTTCATCGAAATCCACATAACCAGCTGCCCTGGGTGCTGGTGTCGTCGTGGATATATCATCTACATCGCCATCGAAGCTGTCATAGTTAATAATGAATATATCGCCAGTATCCTTGGCATGATCCTGCAGCGCCTTTATAGTGCACAAACCGAGGCTCAGCAGAGCAACGACCGCCAACGTTTTGAACAGTATGGAAAGCATTTCGCACTTAAATGATTTCTGGTTTGGTTTTTGGCTTGGGGATTGTTGCCCTTTTATAGGAAATACTTTGATGGCTTGGAACATGCAATGCATGGAATAATATTTGCGGAAATTGGCCAACAATTTAAACACACAAAAGAAACACATTTCACCCCCATAGATTGATCAATTAGAGATCACTTTTATGAATGATATATTGTGTGATCTACTGTATGAATCTCTTACCATATGTAATCAAATTCTCATCCGCACATTGCACTCGGATCGATTTGAAAAATGCATGCATTTCCTGCTGCTTTTCCGGATCATCGAGCACGATGTCCTGGCCAAAAACCAGCAACAAAGATACAAAACTAAACACAAAAATAGCACGAAACATTTTTTCGACTGCAATCCAGTGTAACTCTGACTGGTCTGGGGGACATACGAAACCCTTTTATATGATCTTTCGATACGTGATCAAAATCATGTGATAAATGCTTTCCAATTGATGAGAGATCATTAGGATAAATTAAACTAAATAGTTGTTGCACTTTAATCGAACAATAAATACATGCATTATACATATAGAGAGAGACAGAGAGAGTGGCATACGAAATTTGGTTATTTCAATGGGTGGATTTTCACAAGAATTAGTTTAAATAATACGAGTAGTAAAGTACAGTTAAATGGTTAAACTTATCGAGGGCATTGTCAGAGTCGTAGATCGCGCAACGCAGAGTGCTTAGAGTTGGAGTTTGGGATCGGATTGGAACGGGCCAAATTGGGTTTTATAATAGGTAATACGTGGAAAAAGGTTCGAGTTTCCTTAATAATAATTTTCGCTTAAATTTGAATTTGTAGTAATTTGTGTGTTTCGTTGAAATTTTTGCATTAAATTACTCTATGCAACGTCCACGTCGCATCCACACGTCAGACCTTGGCGCCCCAGGCACGCTTCAGCAGGTAGGCGCCCTTCTCCGCAATCATGACCGCTGGGGCATGGGTATTGCCCGCCGTCACCTTGGGCATAATGCTGGTGTCCATCACACGAAGTCCACGCACACCATGGACCCTCAGCTCGTGATTAACCACCGCCATGGGATCTTGGGAGGGACCCATTTTACAGGAGCCCGCCTGATGATTCTCCGGCCCAGTGTTCTGACGCACCGCGCACTCCCAGTAGGCATCGCTGGCAAAGGTGTGCGACTCACAGCCCTTCACCACCGTCTTGTCCAGCCGCATGCCGTACTGCTTCAGGGGCGAGGTCTGCGATAGCCTTATGACAAACTTGATGCCCTCCACCAGGGTCTTGACATCGCGCTCATCCGTCAGATAGTTGGCGAAGATGCGTGGAGGATCCATTGGATCGGCGGAGCGCAGGGTAATGTAGCCCCGCGACTTCGGATTGAGTACAGCAGGAAACATCTGTATGGCTCGGGAGCTGTTGGAGAGCAGCTCGCCCACCTGCCCGGTGCGGGCACAGCCGGCCAAGTAGCCGCCAAAGTAGAGCTGCAGATCGGGCAGATTGGGACGATCCGCCCAGCGGGTGGAAATCTTAGCGGTGACATCGGAGATGCCAGTGCCCGACATTAGGCCATCGCGGAAGAGCAAGTACTCCATGGCCGTGGCCCAGTTGAGGGGCGCCGTGTCCGCGTCATCGATGAAGAAGTTCGTGAAGTAAGCCACATGGTTGTGCAGATTCTTGCCCACGCCCGGCAGATGATGCACTGAACGGACATTCACCTTTTGCAGATCCTCCTTGGGTCCCACGCCACTCAGCAGCAGGATCTGTGGCGAGTTGACGGCACCACCACTGACGATGACCTCCTTCTTGACCAGGATCTTGCGCATGCTGCCAAACTGATCGCTGACCTCCACGCCCACAACGTTCTTGGTGCCCGGATGGATGAGCACCTTGGTCACGGTGGTGTTCAGCAGGATATGCAGATTGTTGCGCATGCGTGCGGGCCTGAGGAAAGCCCTGGCAGAGCTATATCGAATGCCATTCCTGGCCGTCATCTGGGCAATCATGAATCCCGTCGAATTCTGTCCGTTTAGATCCTGCACAGAGTAGCCCATCTCCTCGCCGGCCTTCAGCAGGGCATAGGAGAGTGGCGGATTGTAGGGGAACTTGCCCACTGGCAGCAGACCACCCTTGGCATGGTATTCGGTGCCCACGGCATCCAGTTCGAGATTGTCCTCTGATTTCTTGAAGAACGGCAGCACATCCTTGTAGCTCCAGCCTGGGTTGCCCAGTGCCGCCCAATCGTCGTAGTCCTCGCGATTGCCGCGTATGTACATCATGCCATTCAAGACCGAAGTGCCGCCCAGGACCTTGCCACGGGGCCAGTAGCAACGCTGCTCCTTGGAGGACAGGCAGGCCATACGCTCGGGCTCCGTGTTGTAGCGATAGTCAATGTCACTGCTAATGAAATTCAGGAACATGGAGGGTATCTGTGCACCCACCGGTTCATCGCCACCTGAAATGGTACGAAACAGAGGAATGTGTTTAAGTCGTGAGCAGACAGAAAACCCTATCCATACCCCCCAAACCCTCCCATTATTTAAGAGAGCAGCTTCAATAACCTTCTGCATCTGGGTGGCATCTCAATTAGATGCTTGCAACATCTTAGGCACGCTTTCGCTTAACCCGCTGGGTAATCGATTATAGTTTGTATTGCTCCAATCAGCGAATTCTACTCGAAGAATTTCCGTTTCGAAGAGTCTACGACTCGTAATTAATTAAATCCCAATCACAGATGGAATCTTTGATTGTTTTAACCCCAGCGTGGGAGCCGAAAGTTGTAGCCGCAAAAATGCCTCCACACAGACAAAAGAAATTAAATTATACCAGACCAGCTCTGATTCATTGAGTATTAGCGTTATATATGTTATCCATATTGTTCATAACTTGTTCTGCAGCGCCAAAAAACACAAACGCAATAAGAAATAAGAGACAACAATTAGCACCGCAGCAAGACGAATTCTAATTAGCTGCGGAATATAACCCCACCAAAAACACCATAAAAAAGGTAAAAACATCTACAAATAAATATGATCTTTTGAAATTAAGTTAATTTTCGATTGCTAAACAACATTTTAAGAGAGTAACAAACGATTGGCGGTATCATAAACCATTAACATTGCCTTTCAACACTAAACAAATATAATCCAAAACTTGTTAAAGTCTTGGCCGTTTTTAATCTAATCAGAAATGTTTTCTCTTTGGCAGATTTATTTTTGTACAATTTTTAAAAGCCAGAAATGAACGTTTTTTTTTAAATTTGTATTTAAGTTATGCAAACAAAAGACTCAGAACCCAAACTCTGCACAAAATGAAGCCATTAGCCCCATCACAATTGAGGGTCATTTGTATTAGCTAAGGCAAATCTCTTTAAGCCAAGAACTTGCTTAGTTTGTACCTTTTTCCGGCATGTATTTTGACATTGACTAAACATCTGATGATGAATTGCATGTCTAATGTCAACCAAGATTAAACCATTCCTCTGATGAATATGAGCTTTTGAGTCTTTTAAAGTATATTTTTTTTTCAAGACAATAAGCCAAGTAATGGCCACAACTAATTGCACTTCAGCCTGGTGTCTGGTGTCTGGTGCCTGGGGCCTGGGTCATTGTATAAGGTAACGCCAACGCATTGGCAACTTTGAAAATGTTTCTCTTTTCCCGAGGGTTTCATTATGCAATTAGTGTAATTAGTGACTGGGCATAAAAATTGTCACGTATATAATTGAAAACTATGTGTAACCCACAAAGTAAACTAAGCAGAGAGTAGAATGCTGATAAGGCAAGTCTAATGGGATTTATGAGAATGTTTTTCCAGCGATATAGAGAGGTATTACTGTAAGTGATTTTCCAACGGACATGAATAACTAATTAAGTTATTAGTGATGAATGGTGAACAATTATGATGATTAATGAGGTGTTTTTTTTAGGGCTCTGCGAAAATACAGAGACACTGTTTTAAGAATTTCTGCTTAGCTAATGGTTCGAATTTGTACCAAAAGAAATGTTTTGTAAATAATTTTAATGCATTCCATAAATGAATTAAATGTTCCATTAATACTATACGCTAATAACTGGTACTATAAATCCTGTTTACAAATTAACAAATTTAATGTAAAATTATTCAGTGCTAAAAAGCGTCTTCAGCAGAGTTTACCGCATGTTTGTTTCTCATTAAGGTAAAGTGAATGCCCTGCATTGAATATCCCCCCACACACACACACACACACACACACACACACACTCGTTCCACCGTATTATTCATGCATTATAATTCATTCATAAAAAAAGTGTAAGGCAAAAAAAGCCAACAATTATTCCAATGCAAAACAAAGTAAAGTCAAGCGGAACGTAAAAAATCCCCCATGAGGCATTGTAGGGGGCATGCAGCAAAATGCTACATAGAAAGAAGACATTTGCATGGGGCATGTGCATTGCCTTGGGCCAGCAAATGGAGCTGCTGCCGCTTGAGGTGGCAGTGGCAGCAGCTCGTTTAGTTTACATAATGCTCGTGGCAGAGTTGCGGTTGCCCAAGTCTTAGCTGCTGCTGCTGCTGCTGCTGGTGCTGGTGCTGCAGTTAGGCTTCAATTACTTCTAAACAAATGCCACATAACCGTGCATCTAATTGCCCGTGAGCACACTGTGTCTGCACAATGTGCCTGGCAACAAGTTGCATGCAACACACACACACACACTTGCTACACGACACGAAAACAACAAACTTACCGGCTTCGATCAGCAACACCTTCCACTGGGGCACCTCGGAGAGACGTGAGGCAACCACAGAGCCAGCCGAACCGCCGCCAATGACAATGAAATCGTACTCGTAATCCGGCTCCGATCGAAACTGCCAACAAAATGAATTGAATGTGATCTGGTTAGGCACACGCCTTGACCATATACGGATTGGCTTGGCTTACCCGCGTGCTGGCCCGTCCGCACGGATCCTCCAGATCGCATTGCGAGCGTATGAAGACCTCCAGGAGGCCCATGAACAGCATAAAAGCGCTGCCGCCGCAGGTGGAGGCGAGGGTGGGGCCCGTAGGCACGCCCACTAAACAATCGCAGGAAGATGGACTGGTGGACATTATGTTAAGGCTGTGTGTGGAATGAAAAGAGCAGAAAATAAAACGAACTTGAGAATTAAACGTCTACAAATTATAATTCAATATTTAAATGCATATTTTTTTGTTTGTTTTTATAATTTCCAGTTGATTAAACACAAAGCCAAAGGGCAAAATCATAAATATAATTCCAAATTCCGCAATTCCAAACTTCTGTTTAACCTTGCCGATCTATGGGGCATGAAAGACAAAGACCAAAAAATCATCTAAGTAATGCTCCAGCAGCAGCAGCAGCAGCAGCCACACTGCAATTAATAAAAGTACCAACCGCAGCAGACAATGGGCGTCGTCGCAGTCGAACAAGTAAAACAAAAGCTAAATAAAATGGAATTAAAATCAGCAAAAGATACTTCTTTGATATCTGTTGGGCATTTGGCAAAAACAAACGGCAACTGCCGCCAGCAGCGGCAACAGCAGCAGCCGCAGCAGCATTGGCAATTACCAAAAGGCCAAGCCAGACAGAGCTCAGCTCATCATCTTGGCTGGGTCTTAGCTCTTGGCTTTTGTTCAGTCAGCTGCATAGTTTCACATGACCTTAGCCCCGGATGAGGGGCTCTACTGGCTCTGGCTCTGACTCTTCTCTTTTCCTATTTGAAATTTCAAAATTACTCCCCGTACTGTTTTGCTGCCTAAAACAGAAGCAATGAGAGATTGAGTAATGTCCATTATAATTATGTCATTTGGCAAACGTTTTTGTTGGTAGCACCGCTGATGACCTCTGGGCGGGTGAGATTTGAGTGATTTTTAAGTGAGAGTTTTGGGGAGACGAGCCTGATAAAGTTGCTCAATTTGTCAGGCCACACACAGACCATTTCCAGACATGATAATTAGACAAAAAATGTTATTTAAAATCCCAACCCACAAATCAGCACATTTTTGGGAAGATGCTGACAACGTTTGTGACCTCAATTAAATCGAAACTTAGAGCTTAGAGCAATCAAATTGCAATTTGCAAGCAAACCAAAAGTGGAAAACCCAAAACAAAAACAACAACCAAAAGCCTGAAACTGAAACCAAAAAGTCAGCGTCAGAGAATCAACAGAGAAGATCACGCTACAATTGCTACAGTTCGTCTGTGTTTTGTTTTTGTTTTTTTGGTGTTCGCATTTGACATTTGAAACACGATTTTTCATTCAATTTGAATGGGATTTTGGTGTCTTTTCTTGTTTTAAAGTTGAAGGATGCCATGAAAGTAAAGCAAAGTAAAGCCAAAGCAAAAGCTAGAGCTAAAGCTAAAGCCAGAGTGCATACGCAACTCGGGCAGAAAGAGAGGCAGTTGACCTCGCAACAAGTTTTCCAGGCAGCCTATGAAAAACCAAGTACAGGCGAACTTCACAAAAGCCAAAGGAAAAACGCGTACAAAAGTCGTGCAGCAATCAGAAAATTAAAAGTTGTTCGGGACAAGTTTTTGCATCAGTTTTGGGGGCATGGAAATCTATGAAAAAGCTTTAGGGAAATCCTAAGAAAATGGTGGTGGGAATGTGTGAGTAATTATTCAATTTATTAATGACAATTTTTGTTGTCTCTTCTATGGCCTATTCACACTTCCTTTTTGAAAACAATGTTATCTCTGTGAGTGTGTGTTTTTTCTTTTTTTATAATTATGAGCAGCTTGTTTTTGTATTAACAACTTTATCGGATGTACATAATACTCGTATGTTGTGCACTGATGCGATGCGTTGCCCGCATGTCGATTATAATCGGAGTTGCAGTTGTCTTCTTGTGGTTTTTGTATTGATATCGCTTGGCATTGTCTTCATTGCTGTAATTGTATTTGAAGGTTTCTTTCAGCTGTCAGTCAGCCAGTCAGCCAGTCAATCAGTCAGTCAATCAGTCAGTCAGTCAGTTAGTCAGCTAGTCAGTAAGTCGGTCTTGTGCTCAGGGGTGTGAACAATACCGCAAGACAGCGTTGGTTTGTACCTTCTTTGCCATATGTTTGGCTATGGTCTCTGCGGAGAGGAGGGCGCTTATTAATGTGGGAACTGTGCATTTATTAGAATAATAATCATAAAGTAATGCAATTTATGCGTGCCATGACAAAGGCGCCAGATAAACCCATGTGATTATAGTGCGGGGATTGTGCAAGGGCCTGGGCCTGGGCCTCTCTGCCACTTTGGATGGGGTGAGAGATCTTTGGGACGACAGCCGTCATAATAATAACTACCCCATCAAACTCAAAAGCTGTGAAACTTTCACGCCATACTTTGTAGAACTTAATTGGCATCCATCCATCATTCAATTAAATTGAGACTTAAAAGCGTCATAAAACAATTCACATAATCTCAAGAAATTTCACATCTACTTTGGAGTCAATTTGCAACTTCCTCTCCGCCTAAAACTGGAACACAATCAGTGGATAAAAACTATAACGAATTTAATGCTCAAACACATTGCGGCAAATTGTCGTCATTCATTTGGCCAATGGACCTCCAACTCTGAACTGGAACGGGTTTTAATTTGATTTTGTCGATACCTTTTTATCCGCTTTATTTCTAACAAAGTCTTAACTGTACACGCTGCGCAAAAAAGAATAAAAAATACAGAGAGAGAGAAAAACCAATAGAGAGATAAAATAAAACGCAGACCATAAAGTGTTTCACGATCGGTCATCAAATTGACAAGAGCTCTGGCAATGCTTATGCATATTTTAAGCGAAAAGAGCCAACCAAATGCTAAAACGGGTAAAAACAATGTAAACAGATTTCGGGGTGGTGGAAAAAGTTCATAAATTAAGCGAAACACGTACGAAAATGTGGGTAGGTGCAACATGTTGCCGCCGGTCTTTCACAGAGTGCGGCAATAAATTAACACCAGCAACAACAACAACATCCATCTTCGGTTGCCCCCATGGAGAGGATAACGAGGCTGCAAATGCAAACACAATATTGATGTTACGCAGTGTTCACAGTGTGCTCTGACCATTAGAAAATTGGCCAAGAAATCAAAAGAGTGTGGAGCTCCAGTTTCAGCTACAACGTGCAACCTGCAACTGTCGGCAGCGGCGGCAATTGCATTGGCAATAGGCAGAGAGGAAACTGCATCGCAATGTCTGTGTCTGTGTCTGGCCAACTTGGCCAATGTCTGACTCAAAGTCTGAGGCTGATGTTGCATTTGGTTGTTCCCGCCGCTGCTGCTGCTGCTGCAACCATTGCCGGTCTCTCATGGCTCTTTGGCCATCTCTTGACTTCCTATTTTCACTTTCATTCGTCATGCGCGTGGCGGCAAATAGAAATGCAACAAAACAGCAAACAAAATCTACTGCCCAAACTGCAAACCCACTTTGGTCTTTTCTTGTAGCTTTTCTTTAGTTTTTCTTGTAGTCTTTTTTTCGTCGCTGTCAACAATGTGCGAATATTTTGTCTTGTGTGAGAATCTGTTGCTGGTTTTTTGCCTCATCGTCATCTGCCACATCATGGCAATATTTGTTTAATGCACTTTACATTTTGTTTTATGGCCCACAATGATGGGGTTTAATTTTCAGAGATTTTCCATTATTTTTATTGGCTAAATTCTTGCATGTGGCACATGTGCTATTTCCCTTGTGTATTTATTGTGTCTGTAGCTCCATTGTTCGTTAAGTCCATTTCAATACTGATTAGATCAATAAAAATCGAGAGGGGAGAAACAATAAAAACGGAACTCGTGTACATCTGCATTGATTGGTAATTGTAATTGTGTTTTTTTTTTTTATATATTTTTCCAGATAATTGCGCATTATAATTTATTTAGATGGCTTTGGCTGGCACGATTTTCAATGGATATTTCCACTCTCCCAGAAACAGAAACGGAAATACCCCAACAAGTGGCCACAATTTTTGTAGAAAATTTCGAAAGCAGCAGTACCAACAAAAAAACACCAAACTGCTTTACATAATTTATTTAAATTTTGTGTGTGTTTTTTTTTTGTGTGGATGCTATGTTGCACGAACTACGTGATTGAATATTTACAACATTTTGTTGCATTTCGCCGAAAAAAAAACAGAAACAAAAACAAAAACAGAGTTGCAGCAACTCTGCATGTAATACCCTTGGCGTTTGCCAATTACGTGGCCACAGCCACACAATTAAGTTTCAAGTGAAATTCTGCAATTGCGGTGTGCGCAGCGCATCATTCGGGCCGGGCGATTGTCAAAGACTCTCCAGATGAGGCTTTGTGCCTTGATTGATCGCTGGTTACGTGCTGGATAAGGTAAGAAAAAATCAGGCAACAGCAACAGCACCACCACCATCTCTTTGGTGGCCCCCGAGGCGGATGCAAAGCCCCACTCAACGATGTTGTCCGGGAGCTGCCTGTCAACTGGGTTGCCTGCCATTCCATGAATCTCTGCGATCTCGGCGGGGCTATTCGGGACTGTAACAACACTTTTAGTTTCATTGCTAAATGAGTGAATTTGTTAACAGGGTTTTGTGGTCGCCGCCGTTCGCCAATGCCGTAATTGATGTTTTGCCAAAATTTCTCACGCTTTTCGGTAAGGATAGCCGACACCTTAGGGGCTAGCTATTCTCCACAATGATCAGAGATGGCTACACTCTTCTGCCATGTGGCAATAGGATAGATGCTCCATGGGATAGTCAATATGCTAATCAATTTCTTATGAAAATTTGTCCCATTTCAAACTTTTGTCAACGTCACGTTCCAACGGGGCTGTCTTTTGGCCTGCAAATGTGCCATAACGAATTGTTAACAAATAAAAGTACAGCAACATTTAAATGGCAAATGGCAGAGATCAGACACATATTGCAGGCACACAAAAGGAGGCACACAAAAGGAGGAGAAGTAAAAGGCAGCGAAGGGGAACCGAACCGAACATACTACTCGCCACATCGCCACATGCTGCAGATTGAATGAATGAATGAATGGCCAAGAAAAAAAACCAAAAAAGGGAGCAAAACAACAAAATAGCAAACAACAGGCAGCAAAAGTCAATCGATGTCTTTGAAGAGGAGCAACAAAAGGCAAATCTTTTCCACCTATTTTGTGTCCGTTGTATCCCCCGTACACCAGACGGTAAGAGAGCTGGGGACCCCCGAACGAGATGCGATATAGCGGCGACAGCACGTTCCCAAAACATGGAGACATACAAATTTTTATCTGTTGCTGACATTTGAACATGACTTCAGCTATGAAGGGGACGGCGACTCCTCGTGTGCAAATAGTTTTCGTTGGCGTTTTTTAAGGTTTTTTTTTTTGTGTGCTACAGAAAAGAAAGCGCTGCGGGGCCCCCTGGGCGTGGGTGTCAGCCGGTCAAAGCACTCTGCTCTCCATGTTCACTTATATCCATTGCCATTGCCCCCCGACCGAAACCCCCACTCCATTGGCACGAATATCAATAACTTTTTATTGAAATGCTCGTTGGCCACTGTTTGCCCTCAATACAAATTTTGATGGATCATCGCCATCTACTTTAATTTTGCACTCAATCTACTCAATAAATGTATAAAATGTTGTATGGTAGAAAACAAGCAAAACTAAAAAGATCTCCCCCCAATTGTACATCAAATTTTGATATGCAAATCGAGCAAAAATTATCTTCACAGCGGTCGCATGCCTTTCGAATGCTTTTTTTATATTTTTAATGAGTTCATGCATAAAATCAGAGCAAAGCAAATGTTAATGTGAAATTCTTTTTGATTTTCTGAATTTATTGTTTGAGTTTTGATTGCTTTTACTTTGGGCTTTAATCAGCTGACAGATTGGGTGAGTTTTAGGCACTTTCTTTGGTTGATTGGATGACAATTTATGTCGAAATATTAGCATTTCTTAATCATACTCTAAGATTTTTTTTTGGGTATTTGGGAATCACTTTTTCAAGAAAGAGTCATCTATATATGACAAATATTTTGTTATTATTATTTTCGTGGAATTATTTGAGAGTATTTGTATTTTCTTTGGGTTTTTTGGGAGTCACCTTTTGTGGAAATATTTTCATAGCCTTGTGACAAAAATGTTGATGTTGATTTTTATGCAAGAAATTCGGGCGTTAATGTGAGTCTTGGTCTTTTTCTTTGGATATTCGAAAGTCACATTAAAGAATTAATTTCTCAGCCTAATAGCTAATATGCCATCATTTCCTGTAATATTCATAATTAATGATTATATTTCTGAAGATTTTATGCCCATTTTCACCTCATCAACATTAGCATATGTAGCACCAGACTTTAGCTTCGACTTTTGTTTAGTTTACAAAATAACTCTAAGAAAATCTAAGCTGATTTTCCCCTTTTGGAGGTTTGAAAAGAAAAGCTGGCGCATAACGGATATTTCCATTCATTTTGGATCAAAAGGCGAATTGTACCCACCATAAATAAGCGTAATACCACGGGTTTCCGTCGAATACAAATGAGGTGGAAATGAAGCAGAGGCTGGTTTTGTGGTGAGGCGACGAAACCGGGCTAATTTCCTATTACACAGTAATGAACGTTTAATGAACTGGCAATGTGAAACACCACCATAATATAAAAGAGTCTGTGGCACAGAGACACACCGAGGCACAATACGAATAATACGCCATGTAATTGAGCACAAAAATCGAACAGATTAGTGATCATATAGAAGGCAAAGACAGACAATGGGTGACCGATTTGATGTGTGTGGAAAAAGAAACCAGTAACTAAGATTAGAAACGTGTCTAGAGGCAGAAAATCGTGAGACATACACTGACGGCAAACAAAACGAATCGAATTGGAATTGGAGCTACTATTGCAAAAAAAAAAAACAACAGCGCCAACAAAAATGCAACTCAATTTATCGCCATGAGGCATCAGAAGACCAACAAACACTCTGTGGAAGTTCCGTTTCTTGGGCTTATGACAATGGTAAAATTTCCAGCAGTCCAAGAGGCTGGCCAAAACAGTTTTCGTTGAGCTTCCTCAATGCCAAAAACGGACATGGCCGAAACAGCAGCAGAAATTCAGCGAAATAAAAGAAAAACTCAGGCATTAGGCATTGGGCATCAAGCATCAGGCGATTGCATCAACTTACGGTCTATGTCGGGTTCGGGTTTCCTTTTCTGTTTTGTTAAATTTTTGGAAAATTTAATTATTTATTCCTTATTGAAAACAAAAAATGCCTCTTAGCCAATTGCTCAATGGCATGGGGATGATACAAACGACTCGTAAAAAATGCACAATTGTGAACAATTTATTTAAACGTTTCTTGTTGCAGTTTTTTTTGTTTTTACTTCTTTTATGTTTCTTTATCTTTTTCTTGGACACAACACAAAGACACTCACGAGTACAACGGTGTTTGTTGTTGGGTTGCCTTCTAGGGTTTTTTTAGTGTTCCCCTCTTTTGAGCACTGGGTCTCGTTTTTATTTTTTCAACCTGTTTTGAACTGCGCGCAGACGCAGACCGTTACCGACTCAGCCTCTGGCCGGCGAGCGCGAGGCTTTTTAAGCTTACCAAAAGCCGCGCGCCACTGGAGCGAGCTTTGGCCTTAACGAAAGTTTGGTTTGACGAAGCGACAGCTTAAAGCTGGTTAGCAAGCTTGCTAGCGCGCTCGCTCTTTCGTTAAGTTGAGTTGGGCTTTATTCAATTTTGAGTTGAACCAAAGAGAGTTTATTTTATGTAAGAAAAATCATTCTCTAAAATTAAATTATAGTTAAATTAAAAGCTTCTTTCTTTAAGAACTTTTCAGAATTTTTGATGACTCATGAAGCTTTCGCAGTGCTGGAAAACTCTAGTTCAGGTGAGCCACCCCTATGTTTCGCCAAGACGTCACAGGTTTCTTCAACCCCCGCTCTCAGACACAGCACACAGCCCACACAAAAAGACCTCATTACGCGCAGAGCGCCTGCGCTGGTTTAACGATTTCCAAGCGTACCCGAACAGAAGTAAAATAAAGTAGCTCTGTGTAGAGGAACTACGCTGTAGGATTGTTGTTTTGGCCAAGCTTGGGCATTGAAAGTGGCAAAATATTTGCAAAGGTTTTGATAAAAAAGTAAGAAAATAATATTAAATAATATTGAATGATAAAACCATTAATATTTAAGAGTTGAAAACTGCCAAAAAGTTATGGAAAGCTAAAGAAAATTAGATGCATGTATGCTTAGAGGGAAAAAAAAAAAACAAATAGATAAGAAAATTCGATGTGTGCTTCCATATATAATACTACAGTAAATAGAATTGGAGCATTTATATGAACTTCTATAAAAAACAATTTATAAATTAAACTTTAAAGCTACAAAAAAATTAAAGAAAAAGTAAAACCCAGTGAGTAACGAATTTTGCATACGAGTTGTGCGGGGGTTGTGATGATTCATGCGTGCACCCAGACCCCCAGACGAGAGCACCCATATAACGCGTGTGTGTATGGTATGGAAGAGTATCATCTCCCACTCCGTCTCGCTCTCTCTCTCTCTCTCTCTCTCTGGAAACCCCAAGTAATGCAAATAACAACAAAACCCAACCAACATCAAGCATAGCCTGGCAGCTGCTACCTACCTACTGCCGATGAAAAGAGCATACATTTGTGCGCAAAATCGATGTACGAACATTTTTCACGTGCCACAGAAAGTAGCAAAAAGAAATACCAAAAACACTTAAAGCCAGTCCACACAGAAAAATTTTTTTAAGCGAACTTTCCTTCGAACAAATTGTGACTAATTGTTATTCCACACAGCTACGCAGGAACTTCCAGAAGGAAGAGCAAACTGAGAGAGGCTGAAGCCGAATCCGAATCCATTAAAAATGGCTGAAGAGTATATGCCAGATGTCAGCATGATGGACACAAGTAAGTAACATATTGCCATTTTATTTGAGGGGTTTGTTCATTAGAAAGTTTCTTTGAGAGCTGTGAGAAGCCCTTTTGGCAACTTTTTCAATTGTAATGAATAATTAAATGGGGAAGAGAAAGAGGAAACGTGGTTGATGTAACCATTTTCATGGGGGAGGGCTATAAAATTAGAGCTGATTTCCTGTTGGGTTTTCTTTTAGTACTCAGATAGTATTTATTTACTAGAGTAAATATTTATTTGATTTCTTCTCTTTTCATTTAGTTTTGCCCGCCATACTGGGACTGACGGCAGCTGCAGTTCTGTCATCGGTGGCCTGCATCTGTGCCAAACAGATGCGCATTCGGAACAAGAAGCAGAACCAACATGATGCATCGTTCCCATTCCAACCGACCCGACGGCCGACTGCAGTTCGTTCGCCCAGCGGCCAGCCGCCGCATTATCTGAAGAAGTCGCCATCGCCAACGAATGGCAAGCAGATGGGTCTACTTTCGCCCATGCAGGACCAGTCGACGTCACCAATCGCACCACCGAATATGAAATACACCGAGGAGGATGAGGCACCCATGCAGCAGGACCAGCCGCAGCAGCAACAGCAGCAGCAGCAGATGGGGAACAAGCTGACGGTTGTGGATGGGAACGGAATGAAGCAATCGCTGCACAATCACCACTCGCCGGTGGAGACGATTGCCAATGGCAATGTGACAATCACCTTGGACGACCAGGCACTGACCAACGGCAAGGAGCTGATCGTAACCGATCAGTATGGAAAACTGGGAACGATCTACTTCAAGTTACGCTATCTGGCCGAAAGGAATGCCCTGATGGTTTCGATCATACGCTGCCGTGGATTGCCCTGCAAGGGTGGCTCGGGCGGCACTGGCGACATACCCACTGGCATGAACGGACGCACACAGGCGGCCACCGATCCCTATGTGAAGCTGCAGCTGTTGCCCGACAAGCAGCACAAAGTGAAGACCCGCGTGGTGCGAAATACCCGGAATCCAGTGTACGACGAGGACTTTACCTTCTACGGCCTGAACATCAACGACCTGCAGAACATGTCGCTGCACTTTGTCATACTCAGCTTCGATCGGTATTCGCGGGACGATGTAATTGGCGAGGTGGTCTGCCCATTGACTTCTATTGAGATCGGTGACATTTCCAAGGAGGCCCTGTCCATCAGCAAGGAAATCCAGCCGCGCAGCCTGAAGATACGCGCCCAGGGACGAGGCGAACTCTTGATCTCTCTCTGCTGGCAGCCAGCTGCCGGACGTCTGACTGTGGTGTTGCTCAAGGCCCGGAATTTACCACGCATGGATGTCACAGGTCTGGCCGATCCCTACGTGAAGATCTATCTGTTGTATAACGGTCAGCGCATTGCCAAAAAGAAGACGCACGTGAAGAAGCGCACTCTGAGCCCAGTATTCAATGAGAGTTTCGCCTTTGATATTCCCGCCGCAGAGGTGAGTCAGGAAATAAACACAAACAGGGAGGGCGAGGGAGAATTTTACACTACTTTATGTTTATTTTTGTTGACATTCCAGGGCACTGGCGCCAGTCTGGAGGGCGTCTCCTTGGAGCTGATGCTACTCGACTGGGATCGCGTGACCAAGAATGAGGTAAGTTCAGGGTTAAGGTCGGTCTCACCCTCTGACTAATTTCACCCTAATTGCCATTGTTTAGGTCATTGGTCGCCTGGAGTTGGGTGGCCCCACATCCAGCAGCACCGCCCTGAACCACTGGAACGAGGTGTGCAATTCCCCACGCCGCCAGATTGCCGAGTGGCACAAACTGAATGAGTAAATGAGAGGCGTGCAACTAAACACCCAGCCCTGAAACGAGTGCAGCCCCGGCGCTGGCGCCACTTTCGGAAAAGAGAAGCGAAGCAGGGAAAACGCTCCCGAGAGTCATACGATTCATGAGTATGAGCTCGCTAGCTATTCATTTATGATTCGTTTTCTATACAGCTTATAATTTTATATACTTTACATAATTTGTTACAAATTTTGTTACCTTAAAATCGCTTAAGTTTGTATGCGAGGCATACACCCAAAAAGAGATGGAGCAGAATTATAATATTTACCAAAAACCCCAAAGCCCCCTAAGTAAATTAAATGTATTAGAAAATGTTTAGGACATAAAAATGCATGTAAGTGTAAGATAATTCCAGGACATCGTAATATAAATATATATATGAATAAAGGAAACAGGTAAACCTTCGTATAATGGACACTGGTTATGTTGCTGTATAGAACTTGAATTCTCCGCTTTATAAAACCTCGATTCGTTGCCCCATTGTTTTCCATATCAATCGATTGAATGTGCCCACCATGAAGAAACCTAATTTCATTTTCATGCTACAAATTATTAAACCCAGGCATATATACAAATGTATAATATATTTATGATATAATATCCCTAACTTTTAAGCATAAATCTTTGTGTATAATGTTTTGTTTTCACTGTTTGATTTTTGGCGGCTTTCTGTTCAATTGTAAAGAAGAAATAATGATCCGAAACACACAGCAAAAATCAGCAATGCACCGACAGAAAGGCCTCGAAGTGTGTCCAAGAACAAAAATGCTTACTGCTTTACACTTTATACGAACGTATTCTTAACAAAAGAAATGATTAATGTTTAAAATAGATGATGAAACCTAATTGAATCTAGAGACGAACACGCAGCTGAATGCTTAGCACCAAAAAGATACAAAAATCCACACACCCACAAAACAAATAAAAAACAAAAACGAAGAAAATTCACGAAAAGAAACCAAAAACACAATACGATACAATAATTGTAAGCAAAAAAACATAGGACATGTAGAAAGCAAAAATACTTATAAAATATATACTCTAGAGTATACAATCCACGAATAGCTCAAAAAAACGAATGCAATAATCAGTCGAATGGGTGTCTAGTGGCATCGTTTATAAAGATCCCATTCCACAATCACACACAAAAATGGAAAAGCGTAGCTTGAAGAAAATGCAACCAACACACACACAGACACACACATTATCCAGCGTACTGAATGCAAATTATGAACTAAAACTACATTTAATAGATCTTTACAGACATCAGCCTGCGCTTCTACATATATTTTATAAGATGAATGTTAGAGCATGAAAAACCCCCCAATTATATAGCTACATACTTACATACATACCACATAAAGATATACATACAACCATAGAAAATACAACTTAAACTTTGTGTCCATTCAAAACTTCAATTCGTCTAAAAAGGGAAAACAATAATTAATGGTGGCATTAACCGATTCATATGTCATGGAACAAAGCATACTTATATATGAGAGATGTGTATAATTCTACATTATAATGTAATAGTAATTGTAAGCAAAACAAACATCAAATGGTTAATTTCAGTAAATAAAAAACATATTATACAAAATACAATGACGCATCAGGAGGATGAATTTTTTCAATTACCAATGATTTATGTATATGTTTGGGATCATATAGTCTTTATGTGTACAATGTACATTATATTATATTTTTCAGATTTTTTTCAGATTTTTTCAGCTGATTTCGACAAATTTAATAAAAAAATTGTTCGTTTGGTTAATTACAATAAAAAATGAGGAGGAACGTTTGAGTCGCTTCTATGGACGCTGCTCTACTTTTATACCGGTACTCAATCAGTATATAAATTTTTGAGCTTATGACCGCGGAGTTACGGATAAAGTATACCGCCTGACTCTCAGAAATATACCAATATATCATTATCAAAATATACCGTAAATATACTAACTGAATAAACTGAACCCCAAAAACACAAAAACAAGAAGAAGACAACCAGAAAAACAGAAAAAAAATATATAACGAGAAGGAACGTGTGAGTCGCTTCAGTGGACGCGACTCTACTTTTATACCTTTACTCAGTCAGAATATAAATTTGTGAGCTTTTATATATTTTACATTTTAAATTTTTTGGCTTCATCTGTTATATACATTTACAATGTCGCATTGCACAGGGCAGAGTGTGTGCGAGCTAGAAAGAGAATGAGTAGCGTCAGCAGCGCTGGAGGAGGTGGGTGGAAGCAAATGAAAATTCATTCTGGCTATAATAATGATCCGATCTGATTCAGATTCGGCAATCTGGTACAGTCTAGTATAGTCATTCTCTACGATACTGCGTTTTTAGTTTTATCGTATCTTCAAAGTTGTGGCTTCCACAGATTTTCGTCTTTTGTGATGGCGGAAGGGGGCGGGGCTAAATGTGGAAATACACTTTTAGCAGTGTGATATTAAATGGAAACAACATTTGGTTGCTCTAGCTCTTATAGTCTCGGAGATCTGGGCGACAAACAAGACGGACGGAAAGACGGACTGGAAAGACTGACATCACAATATCGATTCGGCTATTGGTGCTGATCAAAAATATATATACTTTATGGGGTCGGAAACGTTTCCTTCTCTGCGTTTAACACATCCACTTCTACCACAAATACAATATACCCGTTAACTCTTCGAGTACGTGTATAAATATGCATACAATTTGTTGTAAAAAGATGCATCAGAATTTAGCCCAACATAATCGGAAAATGTGGTACTTTTTTTTTTGATACTTCAATTCCTTAAAGTACTAAAATATACTACAGCCTGAAATCTTCATGCTTCTCAGCGGGAGCAAAGAATTGATTTTAGACAAACAAAAAAATTCTTATAATTTGTTCGTAGATTCCGATTATGCTATACGCTTATCAGGTTTTTGTCCCCGATGATTCCAGTCCAAGTCGCGCATAAGATGGCTCTTATCAGTACAGTTTAAGCTCCCGTTGTGATCGGTACAATAATATTCGCGCTCCATTGTTACTGTACAGTATATCTATTTATTTTAGATAAAGCAACGATATCTGAGTGATCTGCTATGATATTGCTGAACATTTTGGCATTTATATGCCTGCTATGTAGGGTGGAATATGGTAAAGTGTTTGCGACTATATCTTGAAATGTGCTCTTGAATACGAAAGGTTATCATTATGTGGTTAATGGCAGCTGTCATATGTACATATATGTATATGTACATATGGCTGTATTCTGCGATTTTAATAGAGTTTTAAGAAAAAGATTGCAATTATATTTTCTTCATTTTATTTGTTTTTAATTAAATTCTTCAAGGATTGACCCTTGCGTTTGAATGCCCCAGCAAAACAAATAAACCCGTTCAGGACACTCAGATATGCAATGGAATTATAGACTGCCTGGATAAAAGAGACGAAAGTTTCGAGTTGTGTTATAATAGAACATGCAATGATGAGAAATTATTTCGTTGTACCTACGGCGGCTGTTTGGATATAACGAGAAAATGTGACAAAAACATTGATTGCTGGGATTCCAGTGATGAAAATCTATTTGAGTGCGTGGAGAACGAAGACGTGTTCGAAGACCTATACAACGATTTAGAGGGAGAATGCGAGTGAGTCAGGATCTGGGGATGGGGATATTGTGGGATTAGATAAAGTCTAAATCTGAATGATTTCAGAGACAAATTCAATTGCAAGGAGAAGTGCTTGGACTGGAGTCAGGTGTGTGATGGCCAGGTCGATTGCAGGGATGGCAATGATGAGAATAGCACTCTGTGTTCCACCATCGACTGTCCGTATCCAGCATTCAGATGCCTCTATGGCGGCTGCATCACTGATGCTGCCTTGTGCAATCACATACCAGATTGCTATGATGCCTCTGATGAGCTGCCTGCCATATGCCTCCATAAGATGGATCAAGATCCAACCACAAGAGATGACGATGAGCAGAGTGCTTCACCACAGATCTGGGAGGTGAAGCACTGCAAGCTAGAGGATCTATCGGGAGCCCTGATTGCGGAGAACTATGTGGGCAGCACCACCTACTGCAGCAATGCGACGGTGCGCGACCAGTCCGTTGTGACGCTCAGGTGTTCCCACGGCCATGTCCTAATTGGGGAGCCGAAGAATATTTGCGATGGCGAGACTTGGCGATACGAGCTGGCCAAATGCGTTCCGCAGTGCCAAAACATCGGCAATATCCTGCACGAGAGGCAGTGCACCCACCAAGGACGCCTGATTGACTGTGATCAGTCCGTGCTGCCGATGGACACCCGAATGGTGGTTGGCTGCGCCTCTGGCCATGAGGCGAATGAAAAGTCCGGTGTTCAAGTGTGTCTGGGCAATGGTCGTTGGCTTGTGGAGCAGGAGCTGCCCAAATGCGAACCCATCTGTGGTGAGTGGAAACTGAAGGACCAGGGACAGGAGCACACAACCTCCCCATGGATGGTTAGCATTTTTCAGTGCGGCAATGAGCCTATGTTTGAGTACCGATGCGTGGCGACCATTTTGTCACACTACGTAGTGATTACATCGGTGGACTGCTTTACAAATAAACCGATAAAGGGTGCTCCAGCCACAGAGCCAGTGCTCTATACGGTGGCCGAGGGCGAGGTCTATGGGAATACTGCTTTCAGGTCCGGCGAGGATATTGGCTACAAACTGCACAACGTCTCCTATATACACAACATCGAGTAGGACATAAAAACCTTTTGCCTTAGCAAATTTCTAACTTTCTGATCTTTCAGGCGCAGAGATGGGGACACGGTTTCTGCCCTGGCGTTAGTGCAGTTGATCCAACCCCTGGAGTTTAGTGTACGATTGCGCCCCATTTGCCTGACCAGTGATACGCCCGACAAATGGCAGACAACTGAAGATTTCAGTCAATATCCAAAGGGGGTGCCGATCGTCAATGAGAAATCCAATCGATACGAACTTACAGAGATTTTGGCCAGCGATACGGCCAGGTATCACATCAGTGCGTTCATGGAACCTATACGAAATTATATAGCCGAGTGCCAAGAGAGGGGAAACATTTAATTCACTTTATTATGGTTTGCGTTTTCGTGGTTAATCAGAAATCAATGTACATTCAACTGAAGGAAACACACACACACATCTACTATTGACAATTATACTCGTATATTGTATGTATGTATGGGGCATTTGCATTGGGCTATTCATCGGGCCATCGTTCACCGTTCATCATTCACTATTCACCGATCGAAATGCCACCAAAAATGTTTAATGTTTCTTTTTAATTAATGTTCCGATTTCAATTTGCTATTCATTTTGCTGCTGCCTGGATTCCGTTCATTACATTGAGATTGCATTCTGGAGTTTAAACACTAACTATTATAGGTTATTTGTTTTTGTTAAATTTAAATTTAAATTACAATTACTTTAATTAATAATACATTACATTTGATGTTGCTATACTCGTATTTTAGATTTAGTTTATTTTGTTTTAGTTTTGTTTCTCTGCCATTTAGTATGAAATTTTATAGGACACATTCAGTTTGCTTAGTAACTGCTGTAAAAAATCTCTCTTTAAAATGTTCTTTTCTCTTCGCATCTATGTGGTTTGTGGTTTTCTTTCTTTTTCTTTAATTTTGATCACTTCAGTCTTTCCAAAAAGTATTACAACATCTTTTCTATTTTCTTTTTGCAATTGCCAACATATAATTAGAAAATGTATTAGTTATTTCAAAATAGTTTTGTTTCTTTTGTTTTTTTTGTTTTTTGTATCTATCGCATAGTTCCATCTATAGTTGTAAACACATTTGATTTTCATGAAATTCTGTGTGTGCTCTTATTTACTCGTACTTAGTTTTCTTTCAGAAATCTTTCTGTATTCAATACACGGATAGACCTAAACAAATATATATATATGGTATGTATATGTATAGTAATATGAATGTAAATTACGTTTTGGAATAAGTATCCACTTTAGGTTCTATATATATATATATATGTACATATATATCGGTTTTAGTTTGCAGTTGCTTTCATATTTGATTCAAGACTGCGAGATCCTTTTGTGCATTCGAATATAAATACATTTTTGCTTTATCCATCAATTCTTCAATATATATATTTACATGTTCTGCAAGCGACGAGGTCTGTCTGTGGGGAAAGAGAACTAAGTTTTGGATGTTTTAAAAGATTCAGAATCCATTTATGCATATATTTTAGAGTCAGAACTTAGGTATGGACGGTGTTATTCAAATAAGAATACGTATCGTTGGCCATTTACAGTGTGTGCTTATGCCCGATATAAACTTAAGCCCAATATAAAATTTATGTAGATGTCGCTTAGGCGCTAAGACTCTAGCTACAAATTAATACTGTACAGGAATGCACGCCTCGTCAAATGATACAATTAGTTACTATATTTATAGCAATGTGTGTGGATAATTTACCAAACTTAAAAGTAGGACCCTAGCTACCCTTTCTCCTTGCCCGGACCCACACTCACGCCCAACAGATGCTCCCCAGCCATCAGACCCGCCGGCTGGTGCGCATAGTTGCGGATCTGATGCAGCGAGATCAGCTGATTGGGGAATGCATTCGCATTGTTCTGGTTGACATTCTTATTGGGGAAACTGATGGCATCGTAGAGATAGGGTCGCTGTGCCATCGGATGGTGGCTCAGCGAGTTCAAGTGCGGCGGCATTGAGTTGATCGGCGTAAAGGCCGAATTGCTGGTGGTTTTCGTTAGGGAAGCGGCATCATATGGACCCACAGCACTGGGTGTGGATACTGTTTGCAACAAAATAGACAAAGTATGATGGAATGATGTCAAGAACTCCCCATTAATAAGACTGTGGCACTTACCTATATCCTCCCTCACCGGATCGGGCATGCGATGATGTGGCTGCAACTCTGGTCCATGGCCATTGCTTTGGGCACTGTTTGGTGCCGTCGGCTGGACATAGTGCCCCTCCATGCTGTGCTGCGGCGGTGGCTGTTGCTGCTGCTGCTGCGGATGATGATGATGCGGGGGCTGTTGCTGTTGCTGCTGTTGTTGTTGTGGCGGGACATGTTGCTGCGGTGGAACTCCGTGCTGCGGATGATGGTGATGCGTCTGATGTTGCTGCTGCTGTTGTTGCTGCTGCTGCTGTTGCTGTTGTTGTTGCTGCTGCTGCTGTTGCTGTTGTTGCTGCTGCTGTTGCTGCTGCTGCTGGTGCATCACTTCCATGGCATTGGCAGCGGCAGCCGAATCAGGACTCACCTTTGGCCAGTAGCTGCTCTCGCTTGGAGCTATCGAAACCGGTGGCAGTCCCAGATTATTGCGCTGGTGCTGGGCAGGATTGCTGGCCGTCGGCGGACCAGTAGGTCCCGCCCCAGAACTGCCCGCGGCGGCGGCAGCAGCAGCGGCAGCAATGGCTGCTGCACTGCCCGGCGCAATCGGTGGCCGCTTGTCCGTGCGCTCCGCATGCTTCTGCATGTGCTTCGTCAGGTAGGTCTCCTGGGTGTACGACTTGCCGCAGTACTGGCAGATGTGCGTCTTCAGATGCTTGGACTCCTTGTGCTTGGGTATGTGCTCCAGCAGCGAGGGCTCGTCTGAGAAGCACTTGTAGCAGGAGTTGCACTTGAACGGCTTGTCCGTCTGATGGCAGCGCGAGTGCGACTGCAGATTCGAGAGCTGGGAGAAGGCCTTCTGGCAGCCAGGATGGCGGCACTTGTACGGCTTGTCGCCCGTGTGGGTCCGTATGTGCTGCTGCAGGTGCGACAATTGGGTGAACTTTCGCTGACAGATCTCGCAGCGGTACGGCTTGATGCCCAAATGGATTCGCGTGTGCTGCGACAGATACGACGAGTTGGCAAAGGCCTTCGAGCACTGGGTGCACTTGTACGGCTTGGCCTCCCGCATATGAATCTGGGTGTGCAGCTGCAGATCCGCCTTCGAGCTGAAGATCTGCAAAAGTCAGGGAAAAGTTTGGTAAGTTTCGGGGAAATGAAAGTGGGGGGCAGGGAATGTTGTTGCTGTTTGCTGAAGAGCCTGAATTCTTAATGATAGATAAACCCTATTCAAAAGTTTATATTTAATTCCCTCCCATCACCTTCGTATCCTTCACATCCAATTGCGTCATATGGTGCGGCGAACTGGTGGAGGAGGAGATGCCATTACCAGGAGCCGCAGCTGTGGGCACAACTCCTCCTACGCTTATGGCAGGTGGAACTCCTGCTGCTCCTGCCACTCCTGACACTGGCACTGCGCCTGTGTTCTGACCATTCCTCTCATTGATTGTGGCATTCTGCATCCGTATGCCGCCATTGTCCACACTATTGCTTGTCACGATGATGTGTTGATTGGGATTGGGATAGATGCGTGACTTGCGACCACGTGTGGAGCCCGTGGGAGTATTTCCGGTGGAGGTGGAGCTGCCGCCGCCACTGCTGCTGCTCACGACGGCATCGTTCACGTGCTTCTGGCTGTCGGAGGAGGGCACACCACTGCTCTCCAGAGTGGTTATGCTTGGCTTTGGCTGCTGCTCCAGTGGCTCCACTCCACCACCGCTCAGGTGGTATTGATGCTGTTGCTGCTGGTGTTGTTGCAGGTGCTGCTGCTGTTGCTGCTGCTGTGGTGGCGGTTGATGGTGCGGCTGGTGTGGCTGTTGGCTATAGCTGAGAACGGAGCTCCTTAAATCGGCCGTATTGGAGAAGACACTAAGTGGCCCCAGGGCCCCTCGCTCGTTTAAACTGTTTCGCAGATGATCAATGGATCTGTGAACCGCGTGGGAGTAATCTCCACCAGCGGGTGGTATCTCCCCAATTAGCGGAGAATTGTGGTGGTAATCGAGGCCCCCTCCAATGGGCCGATATTCTATTAGACGTCCTTCCATTTCACTTTTTATTTAATCACTTCTTTTTTTTTTTTCTTTTTTTTGGTTGATTTATTATTGATTTTTAATTGTCTAAGCACTTATGATATCTGCAAAAATATATTTCACTTTAGTCAGTTGAAACACTTGGCGTATGCGTGATATCGAAGATTTTTCACGATTTTTTTTTTTTTTTTTTAAGGTGGAAAAACACTTGACTGGGATTTATTTCTGTTCTTTTCAGTTCAAATATAGAACAGTAATGTTAAAAAAAATAGATTTTCAACACAAAAGGGGTTTGATCCTCTCAAAAAAAAATGCCTAACAACTTTTTAATCCTGAAACATTCCCTTTTATATTCTTTCAAACATTTCGATAGATCCCTAAATATTCCTGAAATTTTGAACAATGTCAAAGCTAAAGTTTTTACAAGAAAGCGAAGCGTGAAAATGTTGAATATCTTTTAACTCTCTGTTGACATTCTGCCACAACTGCCAAAGCCAATATTAAATAAAGGGAAAATAACAGAAAGAGGAAAAAAGAAGAGGAGCTGTGGAAAACCTGTGAGACGAGACCACAAAAACGCTTTGGTCTCGACTGGCTGCACCGCGCAGCCGGAAAGGACTTTTTGTCTTTGCTTTTGTTTTCCTAAATCTAACGCTATTTTTTTCGCCAAGCTCACTTTTTATTTCGCATTTTCAATTGCTATGCCTGTTCACATATTTTTTTTCCCGCAACGCTTTTGGCGAGGCGGAAGTATTTTTTCCACACGAATTTGACTTGTATTTGACTTTTTAGCACGCGCTTTACCGCTCTTCCACTTTTCTATTTTCTATGCATTTTTTCATGTTTTTGTGCTGCCTTCGATTAGATTTTTTTCTATATATTTGTATAAACGCTGGCGGCGCTCTCTCTCGCGGCACATTCAGGCGCAGACATGCCGCAGACATCCTGTGTATTTTTCCAGGTGAAAGTCCTCAATGGATGCGCTGTTTTTGTTTTTTCATTTGCATTGCTCCAATTTGAGAGTCTCTAGTTCTAAACGCGACAAATTATTCATTTATTTGTGGAGTATTTTATTTGTTTTTATTCCCATGTAGTCGAATTTTTTTTGTTTGGTTTTTTGTTGCGTTTAGATTGATTTTGTAGATGGGATTTTTTTGTGCCATGTCCATGCCCAACATTGACCTTGAACGGTGATTTTTGTGGGTTAGATTTAGCATATTTCAAAAAATGATAGAAGCAAAAAACTAGATTTGTCAACAGCTTTGGCATTTGACATACAGTTTGGAGGGCGGACACATTTAATTATTACAAGTGTTA